ATTCCCAGACCCGCAAGACGATCTAAAAATTAGATCCCCTTGAACCATATGGGAAATTATATAAGGGTTATATAGAGGGTCTATATTCGGGGATCTGATTTTCAGATCCTCCCAGGGGTCTGGGCTGTCAAGGAATCTAAATTCAGCATCGCCACCTCCGTACTTCGTACGCCGTTGACGGACAGAATGCGGTCTCCGATACCGATCGACCACATGGGATACTGTCGATTCCTTGAGGAGTTTAGGGTTTAAGGTTTAGGCTTTACGGTGCACAGCTTGGGGCGCCAGCTTAATGGTTAAGAGCAGGAGAGATATTCATGGTAGTTGTACTTGGTAATTCCCCTACATAGGGGGACACCCCCCGCAAAAAAAAACAACACTCATTATGGGAAACTGCCACTAATTAGTTGTAGCCATCATTCAGGATACGACAGGTTCTTGTCGTCATTATAAGCCCTTGGGCTCCATGTCTATAAGTAATACCTACACGGGGCCCCAAGTCTACAAATGTGACCTACACTGGGGCTTTTTGGAGCCTTAGGGTACCCTAAACGCTGAACCCTAAACCAATACCTACATTGGGCTATGTGAAGGTAATAATACGACCAGAGAATAGGTACGGCATCTAGATTTTAGTAAGGATTGCTTTTATAGTCGTAGTCCCACAAGGTACAGACATCTTAGAGGTCCAACGTAAGCCTGCCAGCGACAGAAAGCTCAACTCCCAAACCTTCAGCCCGAAATGCTGATCCCTAAGCCTCCCAATCCAAAATCCTGAGCCCTGGATGCTGGGTTCTGAAAATCACTCCCCTCTACTACACCGCCCCAGGTTTCCCCTTAGTTCCTTAACCTTGATTAAACAAGAAAAAAACTAATCTTGGGGGGAGCCTGGGGGGAGGTAGAGTTTCCATACCTAACCCTAAGTCAAACCCTAGACCTGAGACCCTAAATCCTAAACCCTAAGCCCCAATTTAGGGTTTAGGGTTCAGGGTTTAGGGTTTAAGGGTTCAGGGTTCAAGGGTTTAGGGTTCAAAGGTTTAGGGTTTAAGGGTTTAGCTAACCCTGCCAGGCAGTGAAGACTCCATTCAGCTGCAAGGCCGCCAGAGTCGATAGAGCATACGGTGAGATTGACTCCATGTACGTGCATGCCAAACCTTTGACAGTGCTGTAGGGGTTTCGAGCTTAAGTGGGGCTAAAAAAAGGTTTAGGGCTTAGGAAAATTCATACATAGCCGATATAAAGCCCAGATGCAGGTACAATTTTCCTGCTTTCCTTACTTACCCTACAAGTAATCCCCCCAAAAAAATCAACACAAGCATCTCCAGGGGAATCTTTATCATCACGGAAGCGGGGGATTTTTCGAGGCCCGGGGTTACCCTGACATAGGGATTCTATGGTCCCGAGCAGCGGGGATTCAGACTACAATAGAGGGCAGATCCCCACTGTACGATTCCGTATCTTGAAAACCTACTTGCTCTAGACATAGCCCTAAACCCTGAACCCTAAACTCTATATTCTATATACTTAAGGGGGACGATATCTTATGAGGCTTCCAGCTCCTTTTTCGCGACGTGTAGGATCCACGCATTGGGGCACGATTGCTATGACTAGAACGGGCCTGCAGTTTAGAGTTTAGGACTGAATATGGTAGTTTGTTTCCCAAAATGAGGGGACCCCAATATAGACCCCCCAAATCTTATAGTCCTTGTAATTCTGGGGACCCCCTCAAATTGGTACCCGTCATTTTGGAGAACCCCTGAATTGACTCCTTAGACCGTCTAAGACACTGCGATCCTCGCGATCTGTCCAGTTGCACCACGATGGTCTTGCCAGAAGACGCCATCCATGGAAAAGCGCGGGCTTAGGGTTTAGGATTTACGCTTAAGGCTTCAGGGCTTAGGGTTTAGGATTTAGGGTTCAGGGCTTAGGGTTTAGGATTTAGGGCAACGCATACATCAAGTACAGGAGGGGTTCTTCAACATGTCAGTACCGCCAGAGACCGCAGGGGAACATGTGGCCTATGCAGAGATTAAGCCTTCCCTCTTTAGGGATTCTACAGGGCCTATACCAAATACTTTCATAACTCATAACCCCAACCCCAGAACAAGGCCATATAGCTACCATGTGACTACAATAGCGTCCTGGTGTGGGGGTTGTGGGTACGAAAAAATCGCTACTATCATGACAAGACTCACCGGAAGGCTTGACAGGAATGGCTGGAGCACACATTCCTCTCGCTATGCGCCATTCCACTTTTCCTAGGGAATCTGAGCGTGGCCCTGAACTCTACTTGGATGATCCTTTAACTTATTAACTCTACCTACTTTCCCTATTAAGCCCTGTTAAAAAGCAGTGTAACCCAAGTTACTAAGTAGACTTACTAAGTCAAGAGATCTTCCAAGTAAACCTATTACTAAAGCATATGAGCTATAAGGCTATAATCTAAACTCCTCAAGGGGGGGCCATCTAGGGGATTCTATACGGGAGTACTTCAGCGGATATTAAGGGTGATACTAGGACTTTAGACTATAGCTCCATTGGCTTGGCCCTGAGCTCGTTAGGGTTTAGGGAATCCTAAACTCTAAACCCCGAAGCCTAGAAACTGAAGGGATCATTCCAAAGGATGTGGCATAGGAGGGTTTCCAAGAATGAGAGGGTACCTCTTCGTGGATACCTAGTCAGGATCATGCCTATTTTGGGGGCCCTACCGTATATGTGGTGGCTACTGAAGTGAATTCTTCGTCCTCATCCCCTCCTAACCCTTACCCATGATTAATTAACCCCCTACCCTTAATAGGGATTATACGAGGGATCCTAATATTAAGTCCCTTAAAAGGAGGGGGTTCATGAATCATAGGTCTACATTAAGCACTGTAATACTGGTACTTTCAACAACCAGGGATCCTCCTTCAAATTGCTTCCTGGAAGTCCTATTACGAAAGACGCCCCCAAAAAGGGGACAACCTAAACCGAAGCCCTAAAGCCCCCAAGTTTGGAGACCCCAAGTCAATCCTCACCTAGCAGGCTCTACAAGGTAGTTTCCCAAATTAAGGGTACCCCAATATAGAACCCAAAATACTGTAGTCCTTATCATAAGGACCCCCAAACAGGTACCCCTAATTTTGGGAAACCCAACCTGAACCACAGCTTCTCTCTATGCCCTGAAGTCGCTCGCGGTTTAAGGTTTAAGTTTTGGGGTTTGAGTCATGGGTAGCTACGAATAGGGTTATACATGCCCACAAACAAGCGTTGTAACCAGTTGTAACTAGAGTTGTCCACTTCCAAAGCCCAATAATGACCTTCCGTAAGCCTCAGGGTAATCGCTGAAAGAAGCTACCAAAAACCCCCGGCCCAGTTTGGTACACTAGACTACTATTGGATGATTTCTAGGAGCCCTCAAGCGGGATCCTCCCGGGGGTCTGGGTAGGAAGCCATATTCACAACTAATGTGGAGTCCTGACTGGCTTAATCATGGTGAACCACCCCTAAAAGAAAATGGAAATTCAAAATTGATATGGAGTTTGTTGGCATCTGAATGATTACCAACAATTTCATGTTACAGTACAATCCTCAGAAAAACATAGTAAAACCTATCCCCAGGCCCTGTTCTTCCTCAGCGTTAGTAGGGAACAAGGGTATCACAAAGGGAATATATTACGCAGGGATTACATAGGGATTCTCCCTACCAACAACCAATAATAAGTTTTCCAATTCAAGAGGCCCCTACATTAGCCGTGTGGGGGTTGTTCTAAAGGTCATGGAAGGAAGAGACCATTGGCAATACACTTCCTTTTAAAGGGCATCCTAATCACTAGGTAGGTTTTCCGTGCTAACGCGCCGGTTGGTTAACACTATTTTCGTTTATTACGGAATGATTTCACAGCAGAAGCAGGGTTCTCTACTTCACGTCCAAATTGTGCGACAGGTCCATCACTTCATGCATAACATATGCTTCAAATGCAAAAATCACGCGGTCTTCCGTGAAAAATAACATGTCAACGAGACTTCAGGTTGCAATGTGGCGCGCTAACGCATAACACGCCGTGAAATGCCTACCGAGAATCAAACAGGGAACCTACATTAGGGCCATTTTTGGGACGGCTATTTGGACGACTAATACGTGCGTCCATCATCAACAAGACTTGTGCTAGCCGTGTAGGCCAAGCAGCTGACCGATACCACAAGCTCTCCACCCAGTGTCACCAATGTCCCCAAGGCCCTAGAATTTAGAGCACTTCAGTCTCCAAAAGGCATAGTCGGGAGTGGCGCAAGAGAACTCTCTCATTGAAATGTCACAACGAACAGCACGGGAGGTCCTCCGCCATTCCCTCATTTAGGGTTTTAGGATTGAGGGGGCCTGAATTTCAGGAAGATCCCCCAATAGGAGTATAAGGTCTTGGGCTTAGGCAAAGGAAAAGAAAAAGGAAGCTACCACCATATCATTTGGGGCTTATGGTTTCGGGGGGCTTCAAAAAATGGGTTACTAATGGGGATAACTGGGCTTATTACGTGGCTTGTAAGGGTTATGAGGATACTTACTAAGTCCCCCCGACCCCTAAGGCCTAAACCGAATGCAAGTCTGGATCCCTATAGTGGCTCTAGTCACTCTGCTATTGTAGTTTCCACACACCCTAAACCCTAATCCCTGAACTCTGATCCCCGAACCCTAAACCCTCAACCCTAATTCCAAAAAAATAGTTTGCATGTTCGCTTCCTTTCCTTCATTCCCTACCAGCAACTAGCATAATATCTTCCCACCGAGGCTAAGTATTTTGCTGCGAACCCCATGTATACTATACTCTAAACTCTTGGTATCACCCTTAATAACCCCCATACTACTCCCCTATCTAATCCGCTGTAACCCCCTGTAAGAAGTTTAGCCTATCGCTCATTTATACCCGCAAGTCTCTAGTTTTAAGCACATGTTGAACTCGCTTCTCGATTTCAGTATCCATTGCCCAAAGCCCAAACCCTCAACACGAAAAATCGGCAAGGCTAGCCTCCAGCCTATCGGTAAATTCCGATGTTGTGTACGCTTGTCCGCGTGCCTGCGGTCTCAGTAGGGTTTAGGGCCCTCAGGGTCCAAGGACCCAAATAAAAGGGTTTTAGAGCCCAAACGCCATTAATAGTAAGGTATTTGGGCCCTAAAGCCGGATCATTTGGGTCCTGGGACCCTTGAGAGGGTGTTTGGGTTGAAGGTTTTTGGGTGCCCTCAGTTAGCCTTTCTCGCCGGCAGAAAGCTAATGTCATGAAGCCCGAAAGGCCAAGCTTTAAAACTTTCATGGCCTCCTTTGCGAAGTTCACAACACCTTTGCAGAAATATCTGAGACCGTTTATATAACCATAAAAGTGGCGGACTGGCTTAAATGGCCGAGCATGTGGCTGGTGAGTACCAAAAATACTCCCATTGCTGTGTTGCACAGCTTTACTTTGGAACCTGTGTGGTGAACAGTAGCTTGTCTGGAGAGGTGAATCTAATATCAAATCAGGCCATGCCCTAACATTAAGATTTCATATATATTGTGATATACCACCATGGGATTATTTGATATTGGGGTGGGGCAGCTATAGTATCCCTTTAAGGCCCTATATGACACCGCCTCCATTTCTTTTTTCCATTTGATTCTCCGCAAATGGGGATCATATCCTTAAACCCTAAACCCCAAACCGCAAACCCTAAACCCCACATCCTAAATCCTAGCCCTTTTTCACGCCCCTACGTTACCAGCGTAGAGTACGCGGTTCTTCTCTGCTTACACGAGAGCATGCCAAAAACAAAAAGGGTTTCTTTCTGGTTTAGGGTTCAGGGTTTAGGGCTCAAGTTCCAACACTGAGATTCCAAGTACTCATCGGTGATGTGAGCAGTCCTCACCGAAGCCCTGACATGTCGCTGAACCTCAGGTTACAACCACCGGTCCTCACACTACCAAAAACTAAGTTTACCAATGTTGAGACGTAGCTGCCTGAACCCTAAACACCCTGCAACCTAAACACCCTAAACCCTAAGCCCTGTAAGAGAAGCCATTCCTTGTCCCTGCCTCCACCTCGCGGGTTACATCCATCCGTTCGCCATAGGCAGAAAATCGCCCATCTAATGTCTCCGCCTTCACCTGGAACAAGTGGCTCTTGGAACAGGGACCCTTACAGGGCCGTATGAGAATCGTAGGGTCAGTTTTGGGGGGCCGGGTTACCAAAACCCTCGTCTTATTTGAGAATTCATGTTGTAGAGGGTTTCGACTAGCTTAGGACGTAGAAGAGAGGACAAGCAGAAGCGTTGTTATGGCCATGCTACGAGCTTCACAGATGGCTGAGATTATATACTCCAGAAGTCGCATTGCCAGCCTTCTAATCCTTTCCCTCTAATCTTCAGAGTTTGGAACTCTGGGGGACCAGATTAACGAGTACGAGAAGTTTAGCTGACCCAGCTTCTCGCTTATCTTGGCACGTCCGCGCGCTGGTTGAGAAAGAGAGGGCAGCTTGCCTTGCCGTGGATGCCCAAAGGTTGCAAGTGCCTCTTAGGGATATAGGAGTTTACCAAAATTACGGGTACCATTTTGGGAGTCCCTATGATACGGATTACAGTATTTTGGGGTCCAATTGGGTTCCCCTCCATGTACTTTGGACCTTACGAGGTTGCAGAAATCCTCCTCCATATGAACCACTATCGAATCCCAGTTGCCTTGTCCGCAGGGTTTGCCAAGTAGGGACCCCAAATTGTCGAACGCAAGAGCTCACACAGCGCAGAGATCCGAATCATACAGCCTCCAAAACAGAAGCCCAAACCGCGTGAAACTTCATGTGTACCTTTACTTGCTCTGAAAACCCTGAACCCTCATCCCTAAATTGCAAACTGTTGCTTGCAGGGCCTCGCTTTCAACTCTTTCAACATGGCATATTTAGAGGCTCATTGGACTTAGAAATACTTATAGCTGGGGCTATAGCTTGTGTCCTGCCCCCATCCCTGAACAGTCTATACTAGGGGCCATATTAAGGGCTATATACAGTGCACAAATTGTCCGACTGTTACGTAATGGGTGGGGGCTGTATCCAAGGTATAACCCTACCTATAATTATGATAACCCATATAAATCCAGTTGGGGGATCATGAATACGAGTATAGGCCCAGTTATAAACAGTTACTGAGTCCTGAGCCTTGAAGTAAGAGATCGCCCCAGGATTCTCAAAAGTGACTGCTAAGCCCTACAAACCCCAAACCCTAAACCGTATACCCAAAATCCCACACCCGAAACCCTAAACACTAGACTAAACCCCACGAAGTGTGGATGCCAGGCCGGGGCCTTCAGTGCAGTCAGTCTCTGCATGACGTCATCGACACGGGAGGCAAGCGCCTCTTTTGCAGACTTGACTCGGATTCAGGGTTGAGGGTCCAATTTCAGGCTTTACGGGGCTCATATCTGCTGCAAATCCAACACCTGAGCAGCGGGCTGCAACCAAGCTTTTCCTAACACTTACAACCTTCTCGCATATTCTGCACGGATGCCTGTACCCTAAACTGATCAAGGTTTGGGGCCTAGGGCTTTTGAAGTGCGATTTAGTTTTAGAGCTACCGCGACTGCGAAAGCAACAAACTTATCACAGCTTTCCTCGTTGCCCAGCAGCCCGCGTGAAGCCCTCGAAGCTCCCAACACCTTTAATCATCATTTCAACTGAGATGACTCATTCTTCGACTAAAAGAAGGTATGTAAACCTAGGGAAATCTACGACTGTAGCAGAGAAACTGCTCAAACACGGGAATTGAGAAGTTGTATACATGGTTGCATAATGTTGCACCTCCTTTAGCCTTGAGGTCCGCTATAACGTGTTGTGGGGCCTGCTTAGTCGGGATCAGAGAAATGATTATGGGGTCTCCTATCATGTGTCTCGTGTTTTGGTTTTGGGGTTCCAGGAGAACCCAGACCATCCATGTTAAATCAGTCCTGGGAAACCTCAGGGCCCTCAGAACCGTGGGAGGCTGAAGGCCCTTATGGAGGGACTTTAATTTCTATCTCTCCGGGGGCGTTGGGCCCAAGATTAGAAAGGGTCCACCATAAGTTGTATGCACGGGGTTTGCGAGGTTAACACCCAACAACCACCTTGCCCGAGATTAAAACGAACAAAAAATGTCGAGCCCTTCTCAACCCTAATACCCTAAACACTAAAGCCCTAAACCCGATCATAAACCCCCAAACTGTATCACCCAAGAGGCCGGACGCAACTAAACTTACAGCCGAAGCCCCGCAGCAGTCAACCTCAAAGCCTTCCAAACACCAACTATCAAAGTCGAAGCCCTAAACCCCAAACCCTACGCCCTTAACTGTGCCGTCTCGCTTAAACCCTAGACCACAAGCCCAAAGGCCTTGAACTCCTCAGCCCTCAAACACTTCCAAGCCGCTTCAAATCCTTATGACATGGAACATAATGTACCCAAAAAGCTATCATCATAGCATCACATACCCCCAAACCCCTCTTACAATTACAAGCCTACGCCCTAAACTAAACAGTCAACTGAAACTCATGGCTCCCCCTGCTGCCCCCATATACTATCCCGCGTAGGCTTCCCCTAGATTAGCGTCAACTATCCGCAAGGGGAACCTAGCATGAGTAGTATGCAGTGTAGGGGGGGAGGGGGGTAGTCGGGGAAACCAATCAAGCCTATAGGGCCTAAATCCTACAACCCTAAAGGTAAGGGGAACCCTGACAAACTTTTCCAAGGTTGACACCTTCTGGTCAGACCTCGGCTGGCTTGTGTTGGGGAAAAGGGTTTGGGTCCTAGGGGTTCAAGATATGTTGTGGGGATTCAGGGCTTTTAAGCGCGTAGGAGCTGTCCCGAATCTGGCACAAAGATACGGCCGAAACTTCAGGTTTGCAGGTTAGAACATGGAAACTACTGTGACATGGACCCGCACTCGTAAATCCTACAGTCCTTTCCCTAAACCCTAAACCCTAAACCCTAAAAGGAAATGTATGTATGAGTTTCCATTGATTATTGGTCCCTTCTGGGGTTTCAAGGGGAGCTCACCATAACCCTAGGGACCCAACGCATGTCTGATCCTGTGCCTTGCAAGGTTGTTCCAAACAGGTTTGCGGACTTAGGCAGTCATGTAGTATGGCTTTGACAGGTGTGCCTAGGATTCAGCAAGAAAAGGTTCCTAGAACTTATAGTGTCCTTGAGGTTGAGTGTCCTGCAATGAAAGCTGAGGATGTATAGTCCTCGCTGAGTAGATAGAATATGGCCTTGGGTATGTTGTAATAAGATCCCCATATATCCAAGATTCTATCTACTTAAGGGGGGACTATCGTGTTTCTGCTGCATTGGCCTACTCTATGCTGGTCAGAGCAGAAGATTCGCCGTTTCGGGCTGCTGTAGCCGAAGAATTGTAACAATCCATGGCGCCAACCTGCTTCTATGCTGCTACTTCGTGGGCTCACTGTTCATCTGCCTGCAATATCTAAGAATACAGAACGAAAGTGAACACGTTCGCATTGGGCTGTTCTCATGCAAAGCATCACTTAATTCAAGTTCCCTGACAGCAACCCAGTAAAAAGGCTTTCAAGTCGGGACTTTCCAGTGGATCTTGAGGAAACGCCTGCCTGACTCAGAGAAGGATGCGCAGAACACCCTCAACTCTAAGCCCTGTCACACATGCTGGGAGATTGCAATGTGAGCTTCAAGCGGATCAAGAGTTCAGGGTTCAGTGTTTGCATGAATGTCTAGTGACGGATCTACTGCCCCTGAAAAGCACGATGCCATCCTCACACGTCCTCCAACTTCCCATCCTCCAAATGCCTGAATCTCTGGGTGGCTGGCTCTTTGGCAAAGGACGCTGACATCCTGGCATGATATAGAAAATCAAAGAATTAGTCCGTTCATCCTTATATAGGTGTAATACCACATACCCCGAAACCCTCCTCTAACTATTTCAGCTTCTTCTTGTAGGTTTAGAGCCTATGCACCACTTGCGTGGCTCTGGCAGCCCGGGAGTTTTCACAAATGGGCGCGCGCCAATACATCATAATCTTATTATGGGGAGCTGCAAAGAGGGACCCCTTTTGCATCCAGCCTGCAAAGAGGGACCCCTAGTGTGAGGAACCGCCCTAAACCCTAAACTCCTAAACCATAAACTCTCAGGTTCCTGTTGTAAACGCAATCCGAACCTGCTTCGGCAAGTGCCTAGACTCTCCAAGGACCCTCAAACGGGCTCCATATGAGAAATGGCACCCGAAGAACCACCAGTTTCAGAGCGTTCCCCACAACATCCCAGCGGCACTACGGCCAGAAGTGACGTGGGTGAGTTGAACGTTCATGGGCAAGGCTTGGGCACCCCAAAGATTATTGCAACTAGTTCTGATAAGTACGGCCATCCTATGCGAAAACCAAGATGAAACCAAGGTTCGGAAGAAAACAGGCGTCGTTCAGAAGGCCCCCCACAGCTCTGTGGCCTCCAGGCTGTTTTAGATGGGGGTTGCTGCGGTTTCCCTAAACCATGACCCTAAACCCTAAACCCTAAACACCAATAACGGGAGAACGGTCAAAGCTCTCCAAGCTGGCGCCACGCCCTACATGCCCCCTTAAGTAGATAGAAGATGGCTTTGCGTATATTATAATAAGATGCCCATAAACCCCATATTCTATCTACTTAAGGGGGACTCTACCCTAAACCCTGTAAACCCTAAACCCAAGTTCTCGGGACCGCTTCTCAACATTTCAACGACACGTCGTTGTTTTCTGGCGAGGAGCCACAGTCATTGCAAGGTATCCAAAACAGTGTTGTGCAAGCCTTGTGCCGTGAAACCGTTAGCTGAAAGCTCTGGGACCCTAAGCCCGAAACATATTCCATGTACAGAATCATGGCAGGCTGCTTTCTGCAAGCTTCCGTGACCTCAGTCGCAGCAAGCTGTCCTACTCAAGGAGCCTGAATAATTACCAATATCTTCTTTGAGGAACCGCATTTGAGCTATTACCGTAGAATGACGTCGAACAAGCCAAGGATCCAGTAAGTCTTGCGCCGGATCTACGTAACCCAATACATTCACGTTGTAGACGCCGCACTTCGAATCCAAAAACTCCCCAAACCCTATACACTAAACCCTCCCAAACCCTCACCCCCCCACCCCCCCATACCCTAAACCCCAAACCCTAAGCCCTAACCCCCCCCCCAAACCCCAAACCCAAAGCACCATACACAATAACCTAAACCCTACACCTGCAACCCCAAGACCCCTCAAAGCCAGGTACCTAAAGCTCTTAGCGTCTTTAGAGTCTGGCCATGGAGAGATTGTGTGGTGCTTTCCCAAAATTAGGGGTTAGGGTTTAGGGTTTTAGGGTTTTCGGTTTAGGGTTTAGGGTTACTTTTTGGGGGGGCCCCAATAATAAGGATTGTATTATTTTGGGGTCTATATTGGGGTCCCCCTATTTTGGGAAACTACCGTGTGGGGTGAGGGTGATGAGGGAGGGCGCTTCAGGGTTTAAGGCTTGAGGTTTAGGGTTTATAAGGGTTTAGGGTTTACCCTCTATCATAGTAAGCAACCCCTCTTACTCCTGTCAATGCAGAACATTCCTTACAGAAGCCCAATACCTTGGGGACTGAAAGAGGGGATGACCTTCCAGATGGTTCTCTGAAAAGGCGTTCTTGTTGACCGCTGTGGATTTTCATGCTTGCATTCCTTACTAAACCCTCTGAGGGATTGGCATGCCTCCGCAGCTCATCATGACGCTCCTGGAGAGGTTTCAGAAATCTGCTGAGCTTTGGAGTAAGGTGCAGGGCTTGAGGATTTGTAGCACGTGGGGCTTTGGGCCTCTTGTAGAAACCTGAAACATATTTGCAGAGTCGCCTTGCAAGTAGCTTGCGTGAAGAGGCAACGGTCTAAATAAGCAGGATTTCTAGCTTATTACCGTAAAGCCTGAACTCTAATTCAACTGCGGGCCAGCACTCAGGACTGGGGATTTCCGACGCAAAGGTGCTTAGGCATAAGGTTTAGGGTATAAGGTTTAGGCATAGGTCGGTATAGGTTGCACGTTGTATAGTTCAATGAAAGGTCCGGCATGTAAAGAGTTGGATTCTACTAGTTACTAGTTCTCAGTGGGGAATAAGGGAATGGAATCCCTACATAACCGTAATAATGTATTCCCACATTCCCTACTAAGCCCCAGGCAGGTCACACCTTGTTTTGTGGTCAAGGTAGCATAACATCCCGTGGTCCTGGGCAGAGGTATCATGCTGATGCATGCGCACCAGTGTAATGCAGAAGCGTACATAATTACCAACAAAACCGAATGAAAAGTACACGGGAATGGATAGAACATGGAAGCTGGGGTTCATGTAAGGGTCTTATAGAGATTTCAGGATAGGCTAGCCTGAATCACCTAAAAGACGGTGCCCGTTTTCCTCTTTAGTTGTAGTCCCATTAAGTAGATAGAATATGGTTTTGGGTATAATATATTGAGATCCCCGTATACCCCATATTCTATCTACTTCAGGGGGACTCTTGGCCCCTGTATTAAGCTTGCGCTAAAAACAAATCTTTCGAAGATGGGAAGATCCCTAAACCCTAAACCTCCCTTCCCAAGCCTAGACCCCATAAGAGCGAAAGTGCAAACTCCTTAGAAAAGGGGGGTTCTATAGGGGATTGTGTGTTAGATTTTGCACCTTACACCTCAGCTGGCAACCTAAACCCTACGTAAACACTTTTTTTTCGAAGTCCTGCATCTCGGTCTGAAAGTCCTCCAGTGATTGTAGGGCTGCCTGTGCTTGCTGCGGAATTAGGGCTTAAGGTTTAAGGTTTA